CCCGCCGCGGCTCCAGCGGTCGCCGCCCTGCACCGGAGGGGGAGTGACGCCATCTTCCCTCCCGGGGCTGTCCCGCTCCGGCCCGCTGCGAGAGAGGCCTCCCCCCTCAGGGCCGGGGCTCGGACCCGCTGTTGGGGCCTGTGGAGGCGTTTAGGTCCGTCCCCTCAGCTCCATCACCCTCTCCCTGCCCGGCAGCCTGCGGCGGCTCAGACCCCTCCTCTCCCTCGGCCCAACAGCCAGGCCTGGCCCGGCTCTGTAACTGCGAGCTGATTTAAAAACGCATTAGATCTTGAGATAGCCTGTCCTGCTCCTTCCTACCATTCAAGCATAGTACAAAGGATGTTTGCGAAATAGATTTGCCAACAGTTTTAACTTAAGCTTCCACTTTCCATTGCAAATGCTTACAAATATGTCCATACGCATCACCACGATGTCCTCATAGCAGAGTTCATCCAGGTGCCCACAGATAGTTCATCTTCCCCCCACTGTCCAGGAAAATAAAAGTCAGATTCTTGTCTTCCTTGATCTGAATATGAAAATTGCATATCGTTTCCCAACTCATACTTAATATCCAAACCTCTGAATGTCAGATGGTGGGTGCCATTACTGTTTGTGGAGAAAAAACAAAGTTGGTTCAGCCTGGCAAATTGCTGGTCACCTCTGACACTGAAACTCTTTTTCAGATCAGTTTCCACTGCTCACAACGAAGCGGGTATTCTGGAAAGGAGTGCTGGAAGAGCTGCTATGGTTTATCAAGGTTTGGTATTTGGATGTCTCAGTGGGTGGTGTGCCTGAGAGTGGTATCAACAGAATGAGCTAGTGTGGAGTGGATTAAAGAATTTGGGGTAACTGTAGATGCTCCTGTTCGTAAGACAGAACAGAGGAAGTGCAGCCACCTAGTGTTTTGACTACACATGGAAGGCCATTATGTTCGACATCCTGTGCATTTTAGTGGACTCCATTGCATTGTTACCAAACAGAAGGTTTTCTTCTGTTTCAAGGGAAGTAGCCTGAAATAGTGAGGGCTTCTGCTGATTTGACTATACCCCATAGTTACCAAGCCTAGTGCAGTCTCTTTTATTAGTGTTTGAATAAGAAATAATAAGTATATATATGAAGTATATATATATATATATATATGAAGTATACCGTAGGCAGTTTAATGGCCTGCTCTTTAATATTGAGGTAGCTGGCCTTGACTTGAACAGAAGCAAGCAGTGTGGAGTGAAGTAAGACTGATGTAAACGCTAGACTTTTTAGTAACAAAACCCTGAGATCTAATGGAGCTAATAGCTGTAGTTAGAATACTAAAATTCAACTGTAGATAATACATTACATTGTAAGTATTCCTTTATATGTTGTGATATAGTGCAGGTATGGGAAAGTCTATTTAACCTTTTGCTAGATAGCAGGACTTAAATACGAATTCATTTTTTTAAAGTATCTATCTTTTTTCAAATACAAAAACGTAGACACTCCCCAAAACAGAACACTTTCTATTTTGGATTTTTGAGTGTGCTGATTTCGACATGTTTCAGAATTCAGTGAAATTTCTCTGGTGATTTTGTCATATTTGTAATTTTTGTCATTTTAACAAAAGGTTTTTTAAGGCCTTAAGCTCTTTATAGGTAGCTTGGCAGAGAGGTGCTTAGACCATAAATTTTTTGTTTGTCTGTTTTTATCCACCTGTAAAGTAAATTCTCTACAAATGTGCATATGAAATGATACACTCCAGTTGACTTTGAGGCTGTACTGTTTGTGCATTCACGAAGAAGTATTTTAAGTTAAATAAGAGGAGAATGGCTCTTCAAACTTCATTCTAATATGTTGCTCATAAGTTTTATTCAGTTCATTTCTGTCCATGTGCAAGAACCTCACCCAGTATATCAATCAGACCATTCATCCTTTATAAGTGGAGAAATACTGTAGACTAGTAAAGCTTAATACAGCTGTTTCAGATCATGCTCTCTGTGTTGGGATTAGGAGGTAGACTTCTTACTGCCTGTGTTTTGTAGGGTTCTACAAATGCCAAAGAGCTCTCTGCAAAAGGTGTGAAGATTTGGGATGCTAATGGGTCACGGGAGTTCCTGGATAAGCAGGGTTTCAGCACCAGAGAGGAGGGGGATTTGGGACCAGTTTATGGTTTCCAGTGGAGGCACTTTGGAGCAGAATACAAAGATATGCACACAGGTAATCACATACAAATACAATCCTGATTGCTTAGTGGAATGACTGTGACACCTCGTTTCCAGAAGTCTGGTTGGAATGGAGTACTGTTAAAGGGACTGTTTGCAGTGTGAACCGGAAGCCAGAATAAATAGTGTTTGAGAGGGTTAATTCCACTTTTTTTAACACAGTCTATTATCCTGAAAGATGTAGCTTAGTATACTGTAGTTTGGTATTTGTAGAAGAGATGAATCGTAAGGCATATATTGTTTTACTTTGATACAGAGCAGGTATGGTGACTGACAGATGGAAGAGTGTGTGTCTATTGCAGTCCAGAATCATGAGCTAGTTCCATTTGGTAGCAGTGGAACACATGCTGCCACCTCTGAATACCAATGCAGGGTCCTAATTTCCACAAATACAATTGTGTTGGCAAGAATGGACGTTAGTACACTACATTAATTGGAGGCTGTGGCAAAGAAAGATTTTTCCATTCTGCAGCTGGAACGAAGTAGGATCTATCCATAGCTGATGATGCTGTGGACAGAATAGCTGTGACAAGTTATGATGTGGTGCAGTAACTGTTGGTATTATTTTCAGTGGAACTGGTTCATTAAACTTACTCTGAAGTGTCTTGAGGGCTCTTTTTAAGTCTCTGAAGGAGAGGTTGCAGAAAACATTTACAGGACTGCCATCAAAAAAAGATTGTCCCTATTTTTTGGTGTGATTTTTAACTTGGATTAGCAACATGGTAAGTCAATAGTTTTTCCTCTTGTTTTTTTGTCAGTACAGTCTCTAAATTCATAGTAGTTACAGATGTTAGACCAAGTATTGGCATGTTGACCACTGGCAGAATATGGTTTTATGCTAACACAAATGATGCAAAATTGTGAACTGACACATTAAAAAACTTACCCTGAACTTAAAAGGTCTGTGGCATAACATACAGAAAAAATGAACAAGATAAATTCCCATAGGTTTCATTACTAAGAGATTTCCTTAAGTTGCCTTATTAATGGATAGGTAATTAGGTTCAAGGAACTCACATAACCATTTGACAAGGCTTTTGGAATAGTATTTCTGGCAGAAGAATTCCCTGAGATGGTGGTTATATATTTCTACCTTGTTTGTCAGCTTGGGTCTCCCTGTAACCATAATTTGGTGTTGCTTTGAAATAAGAGTTATTAGAAAAAATTAGTTACCAGCCATGCTGATTCACTAGCATGAGTCAGAACAATGAGTAACAACTAATGACTCTTTTATTCTGGAATCCATTCTAATGTTAAGTTAATTCCAGTGAATTTCTTATATAACTGGTATTGAGCCTAAAAATTAGCCTGTGAGCATCATTGAGTGAAATGTAATATTCTGTGCTATACATGATTAAAGTTCCCTTCTGGCACTGAATACTATGGAAATTTAGTTTTCATACATGGCCTTGTCAGTGCTAGATAATTTATTTTTTAAGAAGGGGCACTGTAGCATGGAAGTTTAACATGTAGAAAAGCATCTTAATCCAGAAATGCAATGGGCAAATTACTTTAAATACCATGAATCACTAAGTGGTAATATCTTGCCCATTCATTCCAGTAGAGTTTTTGTCCTATTTAGGTAACAAGTCATCCTGAGTGATAAATAACATGCTTTGTCCAATTAATTTTTTTTGTATTGCAACCTCTGTTTCCTGGGATGTAGTGTTTATGCAGACTTCTTATTGGCTCTTTAAAAATGTCTGGTTGTTGAGGCATGGAATAAAGTGTTCTAAATAGGAATGGTCCTATTTCGGTGTGTGCTAAAGGTACTCAAAGCATGCAAAAGAGATGGGGGGACATATGAAAATACTATCATGAGAATTTCACAAGCCTTAGAGCACCCTAAGGAAGACCAAGAATAGCCTACATTTGGAGGGTGCCAACTGACAAATTCAGTCACTTTCAAAGCTACAATACAATCTTCAGAGGTTGTTATTTGGTTATCACTTTTCAGTGGGATGTGGGTTGGGCTTAAAAAAATACCATGACTTGACTCTATCTGGCTTAGATCTTATTTGATATCTTTCTACAGATTACTCTAACCAAGGAGTTGATCAGTTGCAAAAAGTGATTGAAACAATCAAAACCAATCCAGATGACAGAAGAATCATTATGTGTGCTTGGAATCCCAAAGGTATTGAACATCAGACTTCAAGTGAATGCAGTTGCACATTACCTTGCTTTATGCTAAACCATGTTCTAGTCATATGTCAGCGGTCAGTTCCATTTGGTGTCCTTTCCTATTCTTTATAAAACTACCAGGAATGCAGTAAAAATGGCCAGGATTTGCAAACTTGATTTTCCTTCTACTTAATTCTTACGTTCAGACTTCAAAAATTTTGAACGATTACTTGCAAGTTTTTCTCTCCAGATTGAAGTGAGGGACGTACCTAGCTATCAGTGTCTTTGGCATACGGCCTCTGTTCAAAGACAGCAATTCTTATTTTAAAAAGCTTAAAAAAACAAAAACAAAAAAAAGAGTACACCAGTATGACTTTTCTTTAGCCATATAATAAATTGTAAACTTAAAATAATCTTAAAACTATAGAACAAAAATCTTAGTTGTGTTGTAATTATCTCCTTGAACAGAGGTTGTCTAGATATCCATTCACCCTGTAGGGTTACCTCTAAATAAGAGCTAGTGCCAGAGAATGTTTAACTTCAGCAGCAGTAGATCTGTGCACAAAAAAAATCACCCAGCATTTTCCACTTGTGTCTCTGAAAGGGGATGCCACATGCTGTTGCTGTTATTTTTAAGGTTAAACATTCTCAGATATCAGGAGATACCTAGTTAAAATTTTCCTTAGCAAGCTGTAGTTGCACTATCTGCGCTTCTAAATAAACACTGAAAAGATCTTTTGTCTTCTGATTATTATTTTTTTATTGATCATTACTTTTATATCTCAACAAGCAGTAAAGGCATGTTGCAGTGGGAAGAGAATAAGATAAAGCAGTTGGAAGTCGCTTTAGGGTACATGCTTAATTTTACTCTTAATGTCTTCCTTTGGGGAAATCAACTCTCTCACCAAGGTGAGTGAAACTAAACTGCTGTGCAGCATTATGGCATAAATCTGTTCTGTGGGATATTTGTTTATGACTCTTCTGGTCATGCAGCCCAGGAGATAGCTTGTCATGACCCAGACTTAATTGCTTAGCCAGCAGGTGCTTTTAAATGAGAAAAAGCAACAGAACGATAGTGCAGTTGGATTTTCGCTCTCTACTGTATCTCATTAAATGCTTCTTCAGGTTTTGCATCGTTGACATTTATAACACACTAATGCTCTTATGATATTCCACCCCCTTCTTGTACTTCAATTCCTAGATATTTCTCTGATGGCTTTGCCTCCATGCCATGCTCTTTGCCAGTTCTATGTTCTAAATGGTGAATTGTCTTGCCAACTCTACCAAAGGTCTGGAGATATGGGACTAGGAGTGCCTTTCAATATTGCCAGCTATTCGCTGCTCACATACATGATTGCCCATGTCACAGGGCTAAAGGTAGGCTATTTAATCATTTTACTTAATCCTGTCTGAGAAGTGATAGACTAAGAGATGAGACTTTTCATGTCATGTTCAAGAAAAACTGGAATGAACATACCATTCAAAATCTTGATAAAAAATGTGTAAGAAAGGGCCTCATGAATATAATGTGAATTGCCTCTGGTCTGTATTGGCAGTTAGGATCAGTAATGTAAATTCAGGTCAAACAGACAAGATCCTGCAGGTCTTTTTAACTGAACATGTCAAAACTGACCTGTTCCACTAGTCTACTTCTTAGAAATCTTAACTGAGTACTTGTCCTTATGGGATAATAATATAGAAGTGATTAAATTTTGTAGCATGTGTTCTTTATTGGAAGCAAACAGTAGCTCAGCAGTTGCTGTCAAGGTTCCAGTTTGGATATTCTGCCCACCTAACTTCCATGTATAATTTCAGCTGGGTATTTTTTTTGCTTCCTGTTGTAGATGATTGTGTAGAGTGGTAGTATGTTCTGAAAAGGTTACTGTCCTGACTCCAGAGCTGTATTTTGTAAGTTGGCAGAGTAATTTAAGTACACCACAATCTTGTACAAGTGAAATCCTGTTTTCTTCAAAGCATGTAAAAAATTATGCTAGCAAGGCCATTTGGGCCTGATCCTCCTGCTACCAGGAATATGAAGGGGGAACTTAAAATAGGGAAGTAGAGAAGAATCGGACATCAATTGCAGACCTACTTAAGAAATAAGGCCAAGGTACTAGAAAAAGTGAAGTTTTATGTTATGTCCATAAAGCAGCTGTTACCGCTCAACTCTGGTGTTTTTTAGCATAATATATCCAAGGACTGATCCACATTGGTTAGAGGCCAGTAAAATAGCCGATAAAGCTTCCCTAAATTAAATTAGATTGCTCAGGGGCTGCTAAGTCACAGAACTTAAAAGCTTGCAGAACCCATCTGGATGCTTGGTAAGTGCTTTGGGATTTAGCTTGTGACTGACACCTTCACTGCCACAATTGTCTACATTGTTTAGTACTGCCTGAGGCAACTAGTTTGAGACCAGTTTTGGCAAGTCCTGCTTACTAGAAGTGGAGTGGAAAAGCTGGATGTTGCTGCCCCATCTGTTTCCATCTTGGTGAGCAGATCAGTAGTGCTCCATTCATTTACTGAAGCTATTATCCTAGCAGGATTTCAGAGATAATTTTCTTTGTAATCTAGTAGAACTTTCATTATATCTTTTATTAATTATGCATTAGTCTGGGAAGATATTGTCCTTCAAAGCTTGGAAGGATATCTTAATAATCCAGTTCAGTTCAGAAGCTGCAATTCCACACTAGATATAAGATGTTAAGAATCAATACTGTAAGTATTGTAATGTTTTGCTTTCTTGGAACCTGACTATTTGAAAACCACATGCATTCTCCTTTATATTCAGCCTGGAGAGTTTATACACACATTAGGAGATGCTCACATATATCTGAATCATGTGGAACCTCTAAAAGTTCAAGTAAGTACTTATTCTGGATTCTTGTATCCTTTTATCTTCATAATGCTTATCCAATACAAAGTTAGAAAACCATTCTGCCCAGTACAGATAAATACAAAATAAAATGTCTTTGTAGCATATCAGAAAAGGGTAACTTAACAATTCAGAGTTCATCAGTGTTAATATTTGGCTGAATAAGGCCATGTTTTCTTCACAAAGTAATTTGTTTCAGTAAGAGCAAACCAGAATTCTATTTGATTAGATTTAACTCAGACTGAACATCTTCACCATCTGTATGGTTCAAAATGATCCAGAGAACTAGTCACTGGTTTGGACCCAAATGTTCCTGTGAGAAATTGCAGCACATTTGATGCACATCTGGGTCAGAATTTCCAGTTTAGTTTACTCTGTAGCCACCTGAATTGCTCTGCAAACTGAAGATGCTTGCAGTGCATTTGGAAGCTCAGGGGAATCCACTTTTAAATGATGCTCCTGCTCTCTTTCAGAATATTAAAGTAGATTTCACCTAAATGTTTTACAATTTTTTTTTTTTAGTATAAATCACGGGGTGGAGGGAAAATCTACATAGTGTAATCTGAATTGAGATTAATGAGACCTAATTTATAACACAAAATCTCTGCCTTCCAAGTATTAGCTTTATACAGTAAGCTTGTTTTTATTTCAGCTTCAGAGGGAGCCAAGACCTTTCCCCAAACTCAGAATTCTTCGTAAGGTTGAAGACATCTGTGACTTTAAGGCAGAAGACTTTCAGATTGAAGATTATAATCCTCATCCACCTATTAAAATGGAGATGGCTGTTTAATGCTATAAACCAGGTTCTATTAATGTGGAAATGTACCTAAGCTACTTAGCTTTCTCCATACTGAAAGTTATGGGGTATTTGTATAATTCAAAAAGATACTTTATTACTGAAAAAGAAATGGATACTAGTACACCAGTAACTGCCTTCAGTATTATACTGTAGTCACACAGAACAGATGATTATTTATTCCTGCTGTACTATGCAGATGCTAACCCAGTTTTAATTAATTACTGAAGTAGTTTTCTACAGTTTGTTACCACTGGCTGCTTCTGTTACCATTCAGTTGCTGTGTGTGAGTAGCACTGGCTTACATGCTTTATTTAGTACTGAAAGTAAGAAATTTTATGTGTGATTGAGGATTCTTTGAAGGTTGTAGAACTCTTTGAATATGTTCTAAAGAGCATATGTTAAATAAAGCTTTTTTAAAAAAATCTGGAAGGGATGATGCATATTTAATTTACATGTTTGTTTATAGATAGCAGTAAATAAGAGTTGAAAAGGAAAGGTAAATTCTATTTTACTTTAGGATCTTGGAGGGTGAGATCTAGCAAGGGAAAACAAACTCAAATTTGCCATGGTCTTCATAGATGAACCAGAGGAAGGTGAAAGATCTTAATGGAACCTTGCCTGAAATGCAATCTCTTCATAACATCTCTGTATCAGCATTTTTTCTTTATTCTCCAATCCTACATGAATGATGAATTTGATACCCACAGCTTTGTTTGATTTATAAACTGAGGTTACCAGATAGCAGTAATCTCTCTGTCATCATGTAAAACCAGATCACACAAACATAAGGACTAATTTTGCAGCCTGGAATAGTAAAAGTTAGAGTTAGTAGTATTTGTCGGTTCGGAGGTTACTAATCAAATCTTGGCAGAATTCAGCTTTCATCTCTTCTTATCCTTGCAACTTCTGCAGTAACTTCAGTCTTTATAGAATTCCTCTTCAGAAATTCAGTTGTGAATAGTTCTATGGTTAATATTCAGACATAGCATATTAAATACATATTCAAATACACAGAGAAATGAATAGTAATCTTGATTATTTTTTGAAGTCAGTAAATGGTAAATACTGTAAATGATACAATTGGAGACAATTCTAAGAATTTCATAAACAGTGTACCTTGATTCCATTCATTCAGGGACCTGCATAAGAGGAGCATTGCATCTTTCTTAAACTTTGTAACCTTCAAAACCATATTTTGCATCAATATTATTTGCAAATCTCATTATACTGATCACTGATCTTCAGACTAAATTTTTTGTAGTGCCACATCATGCGCTCAAAAATAAGTTCTTTTTTCCTGACATTTAGCCCAATGCAACAAAACTGCTGAAAAACCATGTTGCTACCTTTTGTAAGTACATCAAATGTGAAGAGGCCACTCTTCTCAGTATCTAATGTAGTCCATCTTTCTTGAGCAGAGATGATCAAACTACATGCTATTTCAGCTGAGATCATATGAGAAACTTGATACAGGGAAGGATCAAACCTATCTTTTTCTGAGACTACATTAAAAGGACACTCAGCCAACCTATAGACCCACACTTGGGTCTTACATTCTTTGAAATTACTGAACTCGCAGATAGTAGCAGCATTGTTACTAGACCTGAAAGCCGTTTCGCATGTTCCTTCTAATTAAATTTAATCTCACCTCGACTATTCTTAAATTTTAAAGCCACCTAGTTTGGATATTCCAGGTGTCATCTGCATTAATGATACCTCCCAGCTGTAGGTTGTCAGCAACTTCTTACCATCTGCATACTTTTATAAGTTAAATGTTCTTGAGTATATTTACAGTCCTCGAAAGTACAAGAAAATGGTTTGGGTTGCAAATCCACTTACAGTTCTGCCTACACTTAGCAAGTTAACTTCATTTTGCTGGAAACCACTTTATGTAATGTGTCAGATGAGGTGGAATCTGCAGGGCATTTTAGCAAGTGTAGCCAGAGAGGATGTGAAAAAAAATGTTGGCCTCAGGGCTTGACTAGTGGGAATCTGCAGTCTCAGTGTAGTTAACCAGGACATGAATACCCAGCCAAGAGAAGAATTTAGAATGGGAATCATTTACTTCCTTTCATAAATTAAAGAGCAGTTAGTCCCATCAGAAGGAAAATTTAAAAAACCCTTTGAAGTATTACCTTTATGAAATGTGACAAATGGTCTATTCTCGGATAGGAGTATGGACATAGGTAGATACTTAAATGGACCAATATATATAACTCTGGAAGAGTTACTGCTTTTCAGTATTGGAATTAACTACAACTTCACTGTTCCCCTTTATCAGCACAATTTACTACCAATAGGAGTTGTTGAAATGAAGCTTGTACCTTGAAGTCCAAGAAGGTTTATGCTGCTCAAAAGATCAGAAAGATATAAAAACAATCTTTACACAGCAGACTTTAATGTGAATAAAAGTGCAAAGACACATATTTAATAGGCATAAGACTTCTATGATTTCAAGAAAAAATATGAATATTCAAAGAATTTGAATATATAGACTTAGGAGGTACTCAAGGAATGTTGATTTGCAGAATAGGAAGACTGTTCACTGCTGCAAAGATGACTAGTATGACTGCAGACTGTATTCAGAGCAGTATTTTAGACAAAACATGGGACATTGTTAGATCCTTGTGGGAAGCTGTGAAAGGAACACATAGGCTTACTGAAAGAAAGGGGTGTTCTTGGACTTCCTAAAGCAAGCTGTCCCTGCAGCTCCCTGTCCCTTGCACCCCTCAGCTGATGACTTTAAAAATAAAGCTGTGCAGGTGGCATTAGAAGTCAGTTCCTTATGAGCTCTGTGTGTCCATAGCATTTCTGAGTCCTTGCCATTTATTCTGCTGACTGCCACACTCATTACAACTCACAATTTGGCCCTGAAGAGTTTCCTCTCTTCCGTTACTCCTCCTCTGGATGCATCCTTTTGTCATTTCCCCACGTTCCAAGGGTACTTCAATCGACTTGGAGATAGCAAAGAACTTTCTTACTACTTTGTTCAAATGTCAACTCCCTCTATGTTCTAGCTTCTTAGACGAGCTCCCATAACCCATATTATTTTTGATGTGTTATGATACATTGCAAAAGTGGCCTTACTGAAATACCAGAAAGAATATTAGTTACCTGGTCATGATAGGTGAAGGATCAGAAAAGAAGGAACTGTTTCTGAATTTTGAGACTAACACCCACCTGATTAGCCATTGAGATCAATAGTCTGTTAATTAGTCTGACTTGAGTTTGCTGCCAGTGACTGGCATCTGTGAAGTGTCTGAATATGGAATAGAGCCCAGGTTCCAAGTGCCTCTACCAAATCCACCAACTGTTCACTTTCACCTGCTTGAAGTTGAATCCACACTTCTAATAACTTCCCTGTGTAGCCCACAGACAGGTGGGTTTATAAGGTAACAAGACAAGTGCATGCTGTGACTACCATGTAGCAACATCTTTAAGAATAAAAAATATCACCATAGGCAATTGCTACTGGAGTAATCTGTATAACTAACCTGCTTTGAAGGCTTTCAGATACTGGGATATAATAAAATATCAAGTGCTGGACTAATTCACAGAGACTTCCAAGTCCATATTAGAAAAAGGTAGTGCCCAGTACCATGACATCCACAGCACTTTGGTGCAGCCCTACGGCATGAGATGAAACAAAGAAAATTATAGCAGTGCATGTAAGCTTACGCTTAGAAATCACAAGCATGACAGCTGAAGAAACTGGTCAGACTAGCTTGGAGGGTGGGGAGAGAAGGATTGTCTCATTGCTGCTACATTTTGCAGAATCTTACTCTGGAACTTTTTGGCCATCAGCAGCACAGACAAGTTTTCATTAACACTTCCCAGCCTTCAGCTGTCAATTTGGAGATAACTCAAGGCCTTAGCTTGTAGAAGCGGTTTAAATATCACTCTGTTGAGCCAGTGTAAGGGAAGAAAAAAAAAAGACCTGAAGTCTCCCAAATTAACATATTACAAGAGCTGCTGGAAACTCATATAAAATCATTTGTACAGTGTCCCTCCTGTGTGTCTCAATAAATCCAAATTATTTTAATTACTTCATTTAAATGAGAGATCACATCAGAATATGAATGAGCTTCAAGGATGTTGCCAGTATTAAAAATAATCCGTTTATACTTGTAATGTTAAGAGCACTACATCTGACACAATGACCTGAGGTACACTGAAAAATATCACTGTGTGCCAAATGACATAGTCTTGCTAGAATGAGTTTGGAAATTACCACCCCTTAACTGGATGTTGAACAGCATAAGTGAAATTGAAGCAAAAATGCCAAGTGAAAATGGCTCTTTCATTCCAGGACAAGGAGGGGGGCTTGACCTACACAAAAGCAGCTGAGTTTGTAAGTGAAACCATTATGTAATGCTGGTACAAACTGATCAGGCGCTTTGCCAGGTAACTGCCTCACAGACTGCCTCAAAATCTTTTCAGGATTTAGACTCCTTTTGGAGCAAACTCACCCCCCTCTGGTCACCCAACAATGTCCCCCAGGCAGGGACTTGAGGTACATTGGGGACTGGACTGTTAGCCCCACTTGAGCATGCTCAGGACTGCATAACTTTGGGATGTACTTGCCTATGTGAATGAGCAGTTATTCCCATTTGAGACAGCTAAAGTGAATATAGCAGTGATTCTGCTGTAGGAAATCATTCCTTCTGCAGACCAGTCCAGCCACATGAGAGATGGCCTTGTAGACAAGATACACTTGAGTAAGAGTCAGGATTCAATTTCTACCTGTGCTACCAGATTTCCTGTCTGGAGCTTGGCTAATTGTTCACACAATTCAGGCCTCACATTAATTTTCCATGTCTGTAGTACAGATAATAGTACTCCCCTTATTCGCAGGGGAATTCTGTGAATAAATACATTAAATGCTTATGTGGTTCTCCGATGTTATAGTGAAAAGAAAAAAGGCTATACAAACCACCAAGTAAAGCCAGTACTCAGGACTGGCCTTTACTTTGTAAAGCAATGCTATACTAATGGGTAATTCAAATCCATTCTAATAGATGTTCAGTATAAAGCACTCCCCTCCCCAGATTGTGTCCCATCTACTGGTAGACAACAGCTGAGAACGAGAAGTACAATGAAATATGTTGGTAGCAGGGCTTGGCATGAGAAACTGGAAGCAGAGAAACTATGCTGATGCAGTCACTGTTCTGTCCAGTTGCTGCAGAGAACCGAGAATTTAATTCACATTGTTTGGCTCTGTAGATTTTGTGTCAAGACCTGAGAAAAATATGGATGCAAAAAACCCCAATTTAGATTGGAGACTGGTATTCTAAAGGGTACCAGCCTGTCTACTGACACTTTGCTATTTATGATATATCTGAGAATTAGTTCTGGTCTTTGGACTCATTAAAAATATTTCATATGAAAAGTATTTAAATACAGCTGATGGCAGTGATTTACTACTAATGCTAGAAATGAGTTTCTTTGGGGGAAAGGAAAGTTTCAACCTTATAAAATACCTCCATATATACCAGCCAAATTCCTCGTAAGGCCAGACAGGGCACTGAATGCACTGACAGGCCTCACCCTGACCAGTCTCACCTGGGGCCCACAACCTCTCTCTGCCCATGGGCTGTAGTTTCTGCCTGGGCAGCATTGCGGGTGTGCCTGCTTCCAGCTGCGGTACAGGTGTGCACGTGTCTGGTCATGGACCTATGGCCCAGACTGGCCTTGTGACCATGGCCGTGCTCTGCCATGGCCCTGCCCAGACACACCCTGGGCTATGTCTGACCTTGGTTCCCCCCACCGGGCCTGATCCTGAACCTCACACACACACTGCTGGCCTGGGCCTGGCTTCAGCCTACCCCCTCCTTGTCCCCAGGGAAGTGCTCAGTGCTCTGGGCTGGGGCCACCCCACTGCCCCCCACCAACCCTACTCCTGACTGGAGGCGTGATGGGCCTGGCGGGGAGGCCTCTGCCCTGCTGCCCACACGGGGAACCTCTGCAGATCCTGGTCCCCTGGGAGCAGCTGGCCTGTGTGGCACCCTGACAGTTATCTCAGGCTGTCTCAAGCTTTAAGCCAGCACCTCAGAACCAGGCTCATGGCTGTACAAGGCCTTGCCTTACAAACCTGGCATGAACCCTTCACAGGGCCACTTTGGGGCTCTTTCCCATTTCCCTGTCCCTGCCCTGGATCTGTGTCTCCTGGAATGCCCCGACCCTCCTCAGCAATTAAATCACACTTCAGCAAGTGCCATCTGAGCCCAGATCTCTGTTGGGCGGGAAGACACATGCCTCCAGGGGGGAGCTGCCACCAGGGCACTGAGGGCAGGAGTGGCCTTGCTGGCCCTGTCCAGCCTCATGAGAGGTGTCCCCCCACCCCCATCTGCCCTCGGGACCATCTCAGCTCAGGCCATGATCCCCAGTCCCTGCATGAGCTGCTCCCAGGTGTGACCATCTCCCATCACATTGTAGCTGTGCCAAGCCATGGACCTCGCTGATCTGGACCCTGAACTGCAGGATGATGGCCCAGCTCACCCTGGGTCTGACTTAATGAACGTGGACAGTCTGTCAGTCACTGGGCTGTGTCTGACCCCGGTCCCTGTCACTGGGCCAGACCCTGCCCTCCGAGCTGTCTCCTCACCATGGCCTCGGCTGGGAACCTTCTCGGTTGAGCCTGGCTTCAGCCCTAGACACACCCTGCCAGCCATGCCCAGCGCTCCCTGCACCCCTGACAGCGCTCCTGGTGCCACCGAGAGAATAAACTACAGCTGGCTAACAGCATGGTTTTCTGGGATTTTGATCTTTACAGATGAGTTAGTGCAGCACAAATAGAGTTGATACAAGAAGAGGAGCCAGGAACCTCTCCAATCTAAAAACTATTCTTTCACAGAGCCACTGCAAGGTCATGCCTAAACATGCGCTGCTTTGCTGAGCAAAAAAACTCGCTTAAGCACCAAAGCCACAGAGCAAAATGGGAACTGTGATAATTATCCCTGGGCTATAGGGAGTATCAGCTTCAGCAGCCCTGCAGCTCTCTGCAGACCACATTGTTCAGCCTACATTGTTCTGCACAGATGTCATCTGCGTTATCTCATGAAGCTGCAGTGCGCTCCACGGAGAAGCATGGGCTTACCCTTTGTACCTTGCTTCTCTACCTTTCATATGGGCAATCACGATCATGCATGCATTCTTTCATATTTCTCACTGATGTAGGAATATGAAATTTTAGCAGTTACTCTCATAATAATAATTTAAAAATCAATTATTTCCATGTGGTTCACAGAAATCATGTGTGGGAAGAATGAACCAGGGAAATAAGGTGAAGGGAGGCAACCTTAGTAGGGAATAGCTGAAATAGATACCAAGTAATTTTCAGCTGTATTTAACTTTAGTGAGAAACGCAAAGGAATTTTGGCACCAGCTCCTAAGATTATGCAGTAGCTGTATTAAACAAGTAGTAATTAGGAAAAAGCCCAAAGCACTTATACGTATACTCACATGTTCTCTGCTTGCCACACAAATTCCTAATAGTGCTAAGGCCTGCAAGGAAATAACAAACATTCGAGACTTGCTTCTGGTTTTTAATTCTCAACGGCATTACTGAAAGGATGGAATAACAGCTGATTCAGTATACTGTTTTCTACACATTTTATAGAAAATGTAACACACATTATAAAACTTTTTATTGATTCTTTTTTTCTGCTTTCTCTGCTCCACAAGCAATGTAAAGAATTATATAGCAGGGTGTGTGGAGCAGTAAAGAAATGCACATACTGTACATATGGGGTTTTAACAGTGCTGCTAAGTATAGTGTGTTGGGAGCACAAATTCTGAACTAAACTTCCAATTTCACTGGAAAACACACATTTAAAAAAAAAGAAGTCCATTCACATTTCATACTAAATGTTGTCTGCCTTCTGCATGCAGGTATTACTGTCCTTTTATGTATTTTTTTAGAAACAAACTATTTCTTTAAACTTAAGGTAATACAGATGCAGAATGGGCATCAAGATCCTGTAGAAAATACATTTAATGGTATTCTGAATTCAGCCTGAACTCTGAGTATGTGAAGGAACAACATTACACTACAGTACTGACTGGAGTCACTGCATTATTATTGAAATAAAAAAATCAACTCTCCAACCTTTGAAATGGTGGCATGTCTCATCTGGACATACATATCCTCATCTGGAAAATCTGGCTCCTTAATCCACAAGGGTTTAAACTCGGCTGGTTTAGTGATCCATTCTATTGCTTCTTTTATTTCCTATTGTTGGTTTGCATCCAGCATCTGGGGATAAGGAAAATAAGAATCAAATACACTGAAGGATTCCATTGACTTTTTTTTTGTCCAACTCTCATAAAGAGAGCTGAAAAATTGATATGAAGTAGAAATTCAGGAAATAGAAAGGAAATGAAAAGCTGGAATTGCCATTCTGTCTGTATTGTGCTTTTGGCCACACTTAGGCTGAGTTGCAATGACTATAGCAATATCCAGACTAGGTTTGAAGCAAGCAGATCAGGAGCTGTAGGAAGTAGAGCAGAGTATTCTGTGGGAATGAGTATATCTTGGCAGCATATACATGAGTAAAGCACCCTAAAACATGGACATGTCTGCCTGAAATTTTCAGCAGAAAAGCTTCTTGACAAAAAAAAATTGTAGTAGTTTAAATGAGTTTCTCAGCACTTTTCTCCCACACAAGGGAGAATTTTTCTCCCTACAAAAAGTGAAACATCTGAAAATGACACCACAGTTCCTCTGCAGGTTCTTCGGGTCCTTGCCATCCTGTATTCACAGAGTTCCTGGTTCAGCATTCCATTATACATGGCATCCCATGAAAGCTCCATGCTGCACTGCAGCACCTAGAGTAGGTCAGCTGCTGTGGGGTGTCAGGGAACACATGGGGCAAAGAATCCAGCCCATAGTGGTCAACACAGTAACATTTCCAAATCAAAGTGTGTGACTTCCATTTAATTATTCCTTTTCATTCAAATATTTTCATTTGAAAAACTTATTTTCCAGTTTATTTTTGGCTGAACATCAGTGAAAAAATACTAACAGAATTTCCTCTGGAAGCCTTCCTGGATATAAAAGGCATTTAAAATCTTCTAGAAGACAATCCTGGAAGTGGGGTTCCCCTGCAGACTTGAACATAAGTTCTCGTACAGATATACAGGATAAAATTATTAGTAATACCTCTGCTTTTTCATGTCCAATACTGCTCTTTGTTGATATATATCAACATTTGCTGCCATCATTATTCAGGATTTGAAGAAGGAAGAAAAAAATATTTGTCAAGAAATGTATATAATGAGAGGTATTTCATCTAATAGTTTTAAATAGAAAATAATATAGTATAGTAGCAAAAAGTGATATTTGCCATTATTTTGTCTGGGCTAAACATTTCTCATATAAATCTACATCTGAAAATATCATTCTGCAGATCTGCACCCACCTTTACTTTGAACCTAGATGTGTATTTGGAACGAGATATAGATCACTTCTAAATGATTAATGCAGCAGTAAACTGGAATCCATAAACTAGAATTCAAAATTTCAGCATCGCTGTCTTACAGAAAGAACTTTCTTATTACTACTCTTCCCTTGTGAGTAAGATGCGTTCTACTCTGAAAATGAAACAGCAATGTTTTTTTCATAAATCAATGGAAACATGTTTATCTTCATTTGTGATCAGCCCTCAGCTTTGCCATACCATTACTGTTTTCCTGCAATGCAGCATTATGCAGTAGTAGACGGGGGAAGTGTCTGAGAGATATACAGAAGCAAAGTCATCACTGCCCATATCATTGACCTGGAAGAGTTAGACTACGTCTAATCCATCTGTTCAAAGCACAAAACGCAGAAGAATAACACTCAATACAAGTGTTTACTGTATATTGTCCAGCCTTCTCTCAAGACTTATGTAACTGCAAGCAATGATACATCTCCAAATAACAATATCACACTGAATCTAGAATAATATTAATTTAACACATTTTCAGAATAAGCTTTTTATTTCTTCTTGGGAGGTGGCAGAAAAACATCAGAAAATGAGATCAAATATATGGATAACATCCAGCTGAACCAAAATCCTCAACCCAGCTAACTGTAACACATAGTAAATTTTTCCAGTCCAGGTATGAACATGCCATGACTTGGCGACACTGTTTCTAGATATACCAAGGCATATATTTCCCAGAAGATAAATCCCAGCTGTATTAACTAAATCTGGCACCAATTAACTGTCCAAAGCTTTCACAATATTTTACAGAAAAACAAGCACATGCAACTCTCTCTAGCATTAAGGATGCTGCTTTATGAAGGAAGCTAAGGGCCCTCTGCTGCTGACAGAGTATCCCTCAAAGCCAAGGCAACCAGAAGTTATAGAAGAAACCAGCAATTATCAGACTTTTGAGGTTCATGTTTTCTGTGAAGGAGACATCCTCATTTCTCATCTATGAAGTTACTGCAGGTCAAAGGCACTGTGCTTCTGAATGTAGCTATCCAAGCACAGATTTTCTGTGTTTTCATTAACCCTCTTAATGATCACACTTTCGATTAATTCATATCATTCTCCTGTGTATCTCTACGTGCATAAGATCCTTGCTTAAACCAACACAGCTGCACTCATGCAAACTCACTGTTATACACAATATGGCAACATAAAGAGATTTCCATTTCTACCTTAATACCTTGTTCTCAATACTAATATTCCTTGGGTATATCCTTAGCCATAGACAGGACTGTAACACTCTGCCTTATTGTGGAAATTACTTAAATGGCATTAGGCCTGCTTTTTACCTCCCCAAATAGATCTGCAATGTTATATTTTTGCTCAATCCAGCAGAACTTCTAAGTATTTAGGAGCAAGGAGTGAGAACTGATTATTGTCTGTTAGCATTTCCCCACTTCACATGTCATTTAAAATCTTACTATTATAAGATTAAACATTCAAACTTTTAATTGCTGCTCTGAGTGGCCCAGACAGACAGAGGATCTTGTATAAGCCGGATATCCGTGCTGTAACATTTGCTGTTCTGAAGCAGATCAGGTTGATTTCAAGTCAAGCTGTGTTCTAGTCAATGGAGGATGATTTTGTTAAATAGTACATCAAAGAATGTTCTTTGAAGAAACTGAAGGATTGGAAGTATTTTGACTTCTTTTTTTTCCTTGAAAGCCATAATTTTAATCAAATAGATCAATTTTGTTCAATAAGCCTTTCCCATTCTTCCTAGCTATTTCATTGCAAGAGAACTGCAAACCAGGTAAATCCCTGGAAGAAGCAGAGAACAGCACAATCTCCTTGATAATCCAAGACACAGAATTATATAGCAAAAAGTCACCAATGTCTGTCACAAACCGACTATCTGGCTTTGTGCTCCTGGAACACATGAGAAGATGCTAGCAAACAACAGGCTTCATCTCACACAGTCCTCTTCCCATTCTCTAAGAGATGCAGAGTAATGGTTTACATCAGGTACAGATCTGTTTAAGCTCACTCCTTTCCTTATTCCAAGCAGGCCATTTTGCTATTTCTGGAGAGGAACAAGCATAAATATCAAATAACACTGGAAAACAACTTCTACTCATTCTCCAGTTTACATCATTATGGTTGTCCCTCCAATCTGTCTTAGTCTCACAGGCTGATGGTATATTAATGAGTGAGCTACTCCTACCAAAACTGATGAGACAGCTCAAGGATTAGGAAGAGTGGAGAGTATCAAAGCCTAGCTTTGAAAGAAAGATGACTTACCATGAGCATTATATCTGAATCCATGCAGAATAGCAATTGTTTGGCAACCTGACTGAAGTATGACATAAAATT